GGTGGGCAGCGTGCGCGGGCAGCGGGGTCCGGCTGGGGAAGCCACTCACCGACAAAGCGGGGGCCGTGCCGGCGCAGCGCGGGGCTGCCCGTGCTCAGGGTCACCTTCATGCGGCTCTCGCCTTGCAGCGGTGGGGCTGACCAAAGCATCGGGAGTCGCTTCATGCTGCCGCGGCTCCAGTGCTCCGAACACCTAGGCTGAAAAATCATCCAAAGGAAGTATTTGAGGAAAGTTAACATCTTAATGAAATACTTCAGTATTGCTGGAACCTGAAAAAAAAATTTGCAATCTTTGAGCTTTATGACACACGGATAAACGGTCTTATCAAACTTTTAAGTCAGAAGGCAACTGAACTCTGGAGTCCTGATTCATCAGGTGTGTTGTGTGTTTAACTGGCAGGTACCACTGCCCAGGCCACAAAATATGTTTTCCTCTAGGGAAGGATATTCGTAAAGTTGACAACTGGAAAATGAGCTGCTTTAAAAATACACATCGACTGTTGTGTGTTCAGTTTTAATAGAAATCCTGCTTAGAAATGAAGGAGTACAACTTGTGTGTCTTGGTTGTGTGTTGGCAGCCACCCCTGGGAAACAGTAACGACGGCTGCCATGCAGAAATACCCAAATCCCATGAACCCCAGCGTGGTTGGAGTCGATGTCCTGGACAGACACATAGATTCCAGTGGAAAGCTGCACAGCCACCGGCTCCTCAGTACGGAATGGGGAATTCCCTCCATTGTGAAATCGGTAGGGCTGGAAAAGGATGCCGGAGGGAGGGGAGGTTGTGAACCAGGCGTTGTAACAGATGTGTATCATTCCTAACTGTAATGGTTTGACAGGATAAGCATTTACGTGTCAGGAAAGCTCTACGGCCCCACAGTGTAGTGGCTTCCTGCTAGCCAGGAGTTGCCTGGTTCTTAGATTGCTTCTGTCTCAAAAATGAGATCTACCTCAACTGAATAATTTGAAACTAAACCCTAATTCTGTTGTCTCAGTGTGTGTCCAATTATGACCACTTATGCTTTTATAGGCACAAAAAGATTTACAGTTGATTAGCATAATTAATTCTCTATGTTTGCCCGTCTTCTAGCTCATTGGCACATGCAGAACAAAGACATATGTTCAGGAGCACTCTATAGTTGACCCAGTGAGAAAAACAATGGAGCTTAAGTCCTGCAATGTAAGTAGCTGTGTTTATGCCATTGAAATAGATTATTGGTTATAATCATTCCTTGCAAATTTGAAAAGGAAGTCACCTTGAAAATTGCTATAGAACAACATAAGTTAAAGGCTTAAGTTATGTGTTTATAGTTGACAGGTTCTGTTTTTCAGAAAGGAATACTAAGTTTTTAGAACTTTCCAGGCCTCTGAACCTACTGATGAGGAAGATAGCAGGCTGGGGTGGGGGGACTAAGAAAAAAACTTGAAGGCCATTTGGTGTACACTGCCACCATTTCCTAATCATGTAACATCTTGCTCTTTGTAGTACTCTGTCTGTCTGATTCCACTGCTGAAGTGTTCTTATAAATGTGATGGTGTATATTGGTAAATGATCCAAAAACTTAAGGAAAGGAGCTAGCTCAGCAAATGCTGAACTTCACAATTGTTCTATCTTCTTCTACAATCCCCATACTTGCAGGAAAAGTGTAATGCTTAAATGAGATATAAGCATTAGTTTTGAATCTGCAGTTTTATTTACTACATTCTCTTAATATTTTTATCAATGGGTAATCTTGTCTCATGTTCTACAGATTTCATTTACAAACCTAGTGTCAGTAGATGAGAGGCTTGTCTATAAACCACACCCTCATGAACCAGACAAGTAAGTACCTCTGTTCTGATACTGCACTGAAGCAGTGCAGACTTTGGCTTTGAAAATTCCCAGTTTCCCTTGAACAGCAGATGAAGTTTACATCACCTTTGTTATGGTAATTTGTCTAAAAAAGAATTAAACAGACTGTCATTTTCTCTAGTGACATTGCTTCTGTAGAGCACTACTGGGAAGCATCATGCTATGGGGGAGTCCAATTCAGTTTAGCTTTTCAGGGAGTTGCTTGTGTCCTGTCTGTGGCTTTGTACATCTTCAGTTATCAGCTCCTTATTTCCCATCTCTTCATCAGCCTGAGCACAGAACCTGTACAAGGGGCACATTTATCTACCTTTAGCCTAACTAAAGGCAGATAAACCTCTTAAGTTTCAGGTTTGGATTTTGGTGTTTGATTGGAGTTTTTTTAAGGCAGCTTCAGAGCTTGCAGAGTTTGTACTCCTGGAACTAGTGATAATTCTTAATGATCTTTCTAGGGATTCTAACACAAGAGGGTTTTTTTCCTCTTACAACACTCGGAAATCTTAAATGCCTATTCTGGAAGGGGATGTCCTAATACTGAGTGTATGTTCACTCCAAATTGCTCTTCCCACTCTTAAATTGCTGCTGCTGAAGATGGAAATAATTGAGGACCACAAAGGGACACCTGGACTTAGTGGGGACTGTTTTTATTTTCTGCGTAGAAGTGCAAAGCAGTTAAGTGCGGTGTAAGTGGGTTGTGTTTGTTGAGAAAGTTCTGTGTTGTACAGCAAAGCTAATGAGGGATTGTACTTGGAAAGGAGTGGGTTTCTTTCAGGAGTGCATTCTTTTTTTAAACTGCTTACAATAATTCAGCGTCCTGGTTTCTGTTTCAGAACCATTTTGACACAAGAAGCAATCATATCTGTAAAAGGCATCAGTCTCAGCAGTTACCTAGAAGGCCTAATGGCAAACACAATTTCCTCCAATGCTAATAAAGTAAGTATGACATATGTGTAAAATGTCTGAGCACTGGCTGAATGACAAAGGGAATAAAAATCCCTGTTGACAAAGCGAAAAAGTAAAACAACCCTAGGAAGGGTCCACATGGTCCTACTGCCTTTACTGTAGAGACTCAATGCTCAGTTAGCTGAACTTCCTTTTGTTTTGGTTTTTTTTTCCCTCTTGTGCATGGATGTAATATATGTTCACTGGGAAAATATCAGCTCACTTAATAGTCTGGTGCTATTGCTCTTTTGCTGCCTTTTTTTATGCCATCTATTAGTTTTTGCTGTAGAAAAAAGGATATATACATCCAGACAAATCTGAAGTAGGTATGTGGGAGTAATGAAGTGGTGTTTTAGTTGAGTTCAACCTCAAGGATGATAAAGCAATCAGGATGAAAAGTCTTTGTGGTTCATAATGTGAGTACTGCTGACATAAGGAATCTTTTAATGAAATGCAGGACAGTATGTGTTCCTGCAATACCGTGGTTATTGAAGTAAAAAAAAAAAAAAAAATCATAGGCAGTTATTTGTGTACCTTTTCTCCCCTTTTCAATTGTATTTTTAGTAATTTTTAGTAAGACAGTATTTAACCTATTTACATATTCACTAAGACTTACACACTGATAAACTTTGCTCTTAACTGTAGGGCCGTGAAGCATTGGAATGGGTAATTAACAGATTGAATGCTGAAATTGAAGAATTCACAGCTTCAGCAAGAGGAACCATGAGGAATTCAATGGCAGCAGCAGCATTTGTAGAGAAATGATAGTGAATATACCTGTATTACTAACAAGGTTTAACAATCTGAAGCTTCTCTCCAAACTTAAAACACAGGTATTCTTTGTTATTTAAAGACATACCTGTGTATTGGGCATGTTTCAAATTTAATTTGGAGAAAAGCTGAATTATTACTAATGAGGCTAATGCACAAAGCCTAGTTAACATATTCGTTCAGCTGGACCGAATCTGGGTTACAGATGAAGAAATGATTTTCAAGTATAGTTCCTGTATTTACATGAACACTAACCATGTGTTCAGATCTGAAACAGCCTCGTTTAGTAATGAGGTGCATACGGTGGAGGAGACTGGGATGTTAGGTTAACTTCTGTGGAATTTTGTGTGTGTGACTTATGGACTACCTCTTTGGGGACCAAGCCCAAATTAATGGTTTGTTCCAGCATTATTCTGTTTATTAATGTTTGATAGTTGTATAATACAACTTGGTTTAATAGAGAGTTTATTACTTGATGCTTGAAATACAAAAGAATGTACAAAATATTTTTTGATACACTTTTTAACTTGTTTGGTTGAGCTAACATATTACTCAGATTGTTCTTCAGTCAATAGAGGTAAAATATACCAAGTGTCACCTATCTACTAAGACCTAAATTCTATTCCTCAATGCAACATTAATGAGCTGGGTGTGCAGTAATTTAAAATAAAATTTTATCCAAAACTTCTAGAGTAAGTATCTATTTCTAAAAGCTCATGAAATAAAGGGGTACAATAAGCCTTAAAATCTTGCAAGCTACTAGAGCATGTAAAAATACTAGGTGTTCACTTAAAAATTTGAAAGAACCACTTAAAGGACTAAAAAAAACCTTTGTGAAGTCAACTAAAAAGATACCTAAACATAGAGGAAATGATATTAAAGAATTTTAACAATACACTTGATTAACTTGATCATGCTCCAAAAATAATGTCATGTCAACTGAATCATGTTGTCCTTTAAATTAAACATAGTGTCCTAGGTTCCAGAAGTTCCTTAACCTTTTGAACTAATTTGCTAGCAATACAAGGCTCTTTAAATGAAAGCCTTGAGAATAAGAAGTTTTCTACAGTTGTTTTTTTGTTTCTCAGTACTCACTGTAGATTCTTGGTACTGTCCTCAGTCACTAGCTGTGGGGACTTAAAGGTCAGACCTTGACATCCTTCCCTATATAGTATGCCAACCTGCTGGCAGTGACTTCAGCAGAGGTTGGCTGTCCCTTGAGGCTCCTTCAGTGTGAAGGAAAAATAGAAAGACGCAGTCCTGAATCAGCTGATGCTTCTGTTTTCCTGGACTTTTTATTTTAAGCTTACAAGTAAGTTCAGGACTCTCTTAGCCTTTATGCACTGTAATCTTACCTATCCCAGCACAAGTTGCATGCCATTTCTGCTTTATCAAAATTGCCTATTGCATAGTGCTGTCTGCTATATAGAGAAACAGGGCTTACTTTAAACAGTAAACATGGATACAGAATTTTCTGCAAGATCTGAGTAGGGGAAAAAAACAGGTGTATATATACCTCTAAATACAGGTATATAACTTCTAAAAATTCAACTAGTTAGGTATTTTTCTAAAAAGAAACTGAGACTACTTTAATAAGTTTAAATCATTGAGGTTTGCCATGCTTTTTACAGGATGTTATTACAACTGAAATAGCATTTTAATTTAAAAAGTATATGTGGAACTTATGCAAAATGATACCATTGTTTCTGATAAAAATGCAAGCTTGAAACTGATTTTAACTGTTTAATCATTAGCATCACTTGGCATTTTAAAGCTGATTTATTTTTTTTCTTTTCCTATTTTTTCTGCACTAAGGACTCTATAGTATGAACTCACAGTTTGCCCTTGCACTGAAAAGAACTTTAATGTTTGCAAGCATTCAGTAATTTATTTTGGAAGATCATTACTCTTTGTTCTATTTTATTTATATGCCTGCATTCTCATTCTGTCAGGAAGTATGACATTCTGTATGTGCTGCTTTTAAAATAAAATATTATCTGAGTTCTGGCTAGTTCCTGTAACTTGCTCATCTATTTGGTGTGTTGTTTTTTTTTTAAACTGCTGAGTAACCTAAAATGAGAAGGGTGAAGGTGAAGAAATACTCTGGAGGTAATAGCTTCTTTAATTGAAATGCACATATCCTAAAATGTACATTGACATCTCCTGTGGTCTTTTCTGCTTCTTGGTAACTGCTTTTCTGCAAATCTGACATGTTAACTACTGAGCAGGTTTCAGAGTTTGCTAGATCCTGGGAAAAAGATTTTCAGTCTACTTAGACTGCGATTTGTATGCTACAATTCACCTATTAAGGAATGGGTCCCTGCACTTGGAATCTAATGCTCACCATTGTTGAGAGCAGAAGAGAACAAAACACTTGGGCTGGAATGTCACATGAGTTTGCCTGTTTACCCACCATTTTCTTAAGAGGAGACTGCACCTAAAGAAGTTTTGCTTCATGGGGAAGGGGGGACTGTGTGTGCAGCAAGTTACAAAGTATGTGCTGTCCCATCACAGCAGAATGTAGTAGATTCCTGCCCTGTGCTTGGTGTGTGTACATACTAGGGTGGTTTCTCCACTAGCCACTTCAGCAAATCCCATGTTCCCTGTGGATCAACCTTACAGCATCCTGCAGGGCTGTGTCATGGGCTGGCAGTTCTGTGAGGAAGCAGGGTGCTATGGATGAATGCACCCACACTGCAGGGACTGTGAGCTGAGGCAGTACAGAGCTGTGTGTGCTGGTGGTTAGAAGGAATGGAGGAGGTGGGCAAGAAAAAGGAGATAGAGCTGGAGGGACAAGCTGAAGGACCAGGAAGAAAAAAGGGACACGAGAGGTGGGGGTAGAAAGGGATTTTCCTACCAGGGGGAGAACGTGATGTGAACAACTCAGTGGTGCAGCCTCTGGTGGATTCCTTCCTGCTTCAGTTTGCCTAAATGAATTAGTTTTAACTTACCTGCAGATTTGGGCTTTTAAATAAGAAAACATAGAACTTACCAATATAACTTTGCTGAGAAATAGAGGTAAACTTTGCATGCAAAGCATAACAGCCTGGAGACTATTTTATGATGGTACTGTGGAATCTTTTGTCCTCACTGTTCACCTTTTCAAGTTTTCGGTAATAAATATTAAGGTTTCCTTGCAGTTAATTGTCTTCATTTTTTTATTACTTAATCATGTTTCTGTGACCATTAAGTACATCAACAGAGCTACTAAGGACGTCTGCCAGGAGGAGGTACATGCTACAAGACTCCAAAGCATACTTCTAAAGCAAAGGTGCATCCAGAAATGCTATTACAGTTAATTTCAATCCAGAAGTTTAAACTGCAGTAGCTGGAAGTTTGAGGTCTCAGCAAACTTAACGCCCTCTTCTGTTGAGACTGAACACTTGCATCAGCTGCTGGTTCTAGTGGAAACAGTGCTCTATAGAGTTCTCAGATCTTTATATGAACATAGCCATATGCCTACAGGAAGATTCTCCTGAATGAGCCTGCTTACCTGATTTGTATCTAAATGTAGAAACAAGGGAAAAAAATAATTTTCCTCAGGTTTGATATAAGAATTAGCCATACCAGTGGTGAGATTTTGGTGTTAAAGGTTGTTTTTTTTTCATTTTTTTACTGTAAATGACACTCACCTTGTCCTCACTGATTAAAACAGGCTCGGGATGGCTAAAGCAGCAGGATAATGGATTAACCTGTTTTACATAAGCTGCAAGGCATTCTAAAAAGAACAGATCTATAGGGTTTTTAATTTTTCCAATGGTGTGTAGTTGTCTAACTCCTGTGAACCCATCTGCACTACATATTTGTTAAGAACTTGTGTTGGTGCACCTTGCTAATTGCCTGCTTCTCTCGTGTTCTACAAGGTACTGCTTTTGACAATGTGAAATTATGAAACCTGCTACCATGGAAGCCAGCAAACCCCTAAATTTACTGTGCCACTGAAACGACTCATGCTGATATGAACACTGAAATAATACCATTTTCTTCAGTCAGCAGTAGAAATTAAGTACTTCTAAAAAGGCTTAGTTTCCCTGAAAACTATTTATTCTTGCTGACAATGGGTGTCAGCACCTGTTCAGTCTCAATTAACTATAAACCAGTTGTTTGTTTTAGAAAAAACAGGAAAACTACTAATTTCTACAACATTGCTGATGTGTCTAATGTGGTCTATTTGCAGTTAAACTGTACAGTCTAGCTTATTTCCAGTAAGAGTCATATATAGTAAAACTAATCATGCAGTCAGTGTCTAGTAACCTTTCAAAGCAGTCATTAGTTGACAACTTTGTAGATACTCTGGTAAGAAATGTGCTTTATAATATGGCAAGTAGCATCATTTGGCTGAGTACCTGTTAATGGGGTTTTGGGACTATAGAGATACTATTTACCTGTGAAATAACTGCTTTCATTTATCTAGATTTAAACTCATTTACATGTGGCAGTTGCACCAAAATCTAGTAGGTATGCTATGAAATTGGGAGCAAGGAACTGTGTATCAGAATTCATTTATGTTTTATAGTTGTGTCATATTTTGAATGATCTAGCTGAAGTGCTAGAAGCACTTAGCCTTCTTAACCTGATAGGCTATACAGTTATGTCTTCTCTGAACCTGTGCAATTGTCCTGCTTTTCCTGTGAAAGAAGAGAACAAATGGAAGCAGGTGCTGCTGCACAGACTGTGTTTCCCTGTCTGCAAAGGGATGCAATAATGGCCCTTGTTTAGCCAGGAGCCTAAGTCTCCCTTGTCTTTCAAAAGAAGCAAAAGTCCCTACATGACCTCAAATGTCTCAGGCTCCAGCTACTGCTGTCATCTGAGTTTTTTTAAGACTTTTATTCAATGTTACCATCAACTGTGGACAGAATGCTTTACATACTATTTTATCATAACAACACTTTAAAAGTAACATAGCTAACAAAAGTTATTCAATTCCTTAAAATAGGAAGTAATACACAAAATTCTTAAAAGTTGAGTGTACCTGAATTCTGCTCTGCAGATCCTGGGTCCCTCCAGAGACTATTTATGCCAGAGAACTTGGATGACACTGCAATTTTTTGTTTACTTCCAATCCAGGTGTCCAAAAGGTAAAAATTAATGTCTTCATCTGCTTCCCCAACTAACCTTCAAACGTTCTGCAGTAGGAAAGAGCACAGAACTGCAATTTCATTTCAAGATTAGCACTTATTTCAGAGCCTGTTTTCTGCTAGTGCTCTGTGCCGAGAGCTGTGCTTAGACAAGAGGAGATTTAAGAGATGACCTGTATTGTCATCAGCATGGCATGATTTCCAGTAGCTGTGGAACAGATTAGGGTCATCAGCAGAGACGAACAGCAGAGCTTTACCAGCACAGCCTAGCATGGCTTACACAAGCAGAGAAAGGAGATAAAGCCACAGCTATCAAAGGTAGGAATCATTATTACCGACCTATACATTTTATACAAGTGGCCATAATTCCATGTTTCTTAACAGTGTTATTTCATAGGAAAACGTGCATTAACTTTGCCATTTTAAATTAAGGCAAGAGGAACCCAATGAAGGGATAATGGAATTTGCAGTCTGTTGAAAATCATATTGATACTGACTTTTTATTGTATTGTAATTTGCCTTTTGTATAATTATTTGTTCTCCTCTGTACAATGCACTTGAGACTCTTTTAAGAACAACAGTTAAAAATTATTGTTGCTGGGTAGCAGGGAGGCTTCTTCATAAGGGATCAGTTATTTTTGTTATCAAGAATATAGGTCAGCAAGAAAATGTGTAATTTAATCACAAATTATTAATGTTAAGAAAGATTAATTTGTTTTGCCTTTTGATCAATAAATATTGTACTCTTGATAGAATTACAACTATGTTGCTTGAGCTCTCAAATTACAGACGCATTATGAATAAATTGTACTCAATAACTGAGATCTCACAATTAGTACATAAGCAGCTTTTTTTTCAGTCTGGTAATTTTTGTTTTGTGCTAAATCCCCACAATTTTAATAGTTGCATAGTAAGACATGGTTTGTGCCAACTTCAGTCCGCGTTCAGCAGACACCTGCCTCAGTGGTGACCTGAGTGGGAGTTCTGCCCATGGTGATTATGTTAAATCCATTATATACGCATCTGGACATCAGTTGTGTAATAGCACAAGCAAAGCTTGGGTGTATTCACCTGAGAATCTGCAGCCCCCTCTACATATCTTTCACTTTCTTGAGCCACAAAATACTTTTGTGACGACTCTCTGAAAACCTTTATGGTCATTCATTCCCCTGCCTACATCTGGAAAGAAAACAGCATGTTTGACCTACTCTTTGCTCTGCAGCACAGTCTGGAGAAGAAAGAAGGCAACTGTAGATCAGCCTCCTGACCTATTCATACCACAGTTAGATGTACCTTCATGAACTGACATAGAAGCTGCTCTGTTGCTTTTTTAATTAGATGTCTGCCTTCTATCAGAACTAACCATACATTTTAGAACAAGTTGAACTGATGTTGCTGAAATGTGTTTCTTAGTGTCAGAATCAGTGTAATATAACGCTAGCTTCCAAAAATTAATCCTGCACATTCTGCAGAGAAAAATGCTGTTTTCTTTGCCATTTTTTTTAGCATCAGAAAGATACACATTTTTCAGCTAGATGTTACAAATTAGAATGAAATAATTCTTCATACCTTTACAATCAGAGGCCTAGTTTGATCTGTAGTTGCCATTTTCAACTGTGCTTTTTTTTTTTCATTTCTCCCTGTAGTCAGTTAGCAGCCTGCTATCTGAATATCCTTTGGTATCTGAAAAGGAAGAACAAAATAATTTTAATTTCCATTCTATTACATAAACTATTTTACTCCAGACCTTCAGGACAGGGAGATGGCATTTGACAGGAGGATATTCTTTGTCAGGCTACCACAGATGCTAAAAACTGCTTGAACAAGGAGAGGAGACATGCCAAGACAGAAGAATTTCTGCTACTGTAAGTAATCTGTACGTGTACTTCTGTACTGGTCATCTGTGAGGGAGCAATATTCCAAATAAGTCTGTGTGCTCTTATTACTAGAATTTTCTGCACCATGAGAGAAACACATTAAGAGACATTAAGATTAAACCTCTATGCTTAGTTATTTTCAAAAGTAGTATTATTTAGGTTCATTATGTAATTTTGTTTTGTTATGATGCTATTAGAGATCTTTAGTTTAAAATATTTCTGATTTAACACAAGTCATGTGGATTTATTTGGCTTTTCAGTGTCATCTCTTCAATCTACCTGGACCAAGTTGGTCGCACATTTTTGGCCTCCCTGGACCCCTCCAGTGTCAACACTTCAGCCTCCTTAGAACTCTTTAAAATCCCCTTTTCAGAATCTTTGGATTTATCCAGTCTGGGCTCTTCATCTTCTGTGGACTTATCCAGTCTCACTTCTTCATCTTCTCTGGACCTGTCAAGTCTCACATCTTCAGACTCTTCTGATTTCTCCAGTACCTCCTCTTCAATCTCCTTAGACCTCTCCAGTCTCACCTCTTCAGATTCCTGGGAGCGCTCCAGTTTCTCCTCTTCAATTTCACTGGACCTATCAAGTCTCACTTCAACAGGCTCTCTGGAGTTCTCTGGCGACAGCTCTTCAGTTTCCTTAGACCTCTCAAGTACCAACTCCATATCCTCCCTGGATTGTTCCAGTCATACTTCTTCACCATCTCTAGACCTCTCCAGTCTCACTTCTTCACCCTCTCTAGATGGTTCTAGTCACACTTCGTCAGCTTCCTTGGACTTTTCCTGTACAATCCCTCCATTCTCAGAAGGTGTGTCAGACCACACCTCTTCAACCTCTTCGGAATCACTAAATCTCACTGATTTTAACTATTTCATGTTTCAAGGCTCTTCTGAATTACCCTCATCAACCTCTGAGGATGTTTCTAATCTCATCTCTAGACCCTTTCTGGAAGTCTCCAATCTCACCTTTCAGGATGAGTCTTCCCTCACTCCCTCTGTTTCTCTGGACATTTCTAATCTCACATCTTTAGTTCCCACAGACGTATCCACTCTCACATTTATGGATGTTGCTAATCGCACCACTTCAGCTTCTCTTGATCTCTGCATCTAACTCTCTTATCATATCCCTTTTTCTCTCTGCAACCTCTCTGTACTTTTCTAAGCTTTCCTCCTTTATGTGCTCCTTCTTAAGTTCTGTTTCTGAAAGGTCGTATCTGAGGGAAGTTCAGCGCTTTACAAATATTTCCTAGCATCTAACCAGAACTGGGCATAAAAACGGGTCAAATCTCTAATGGTGCCTTGTTTACAGCTACATAAACATCAACATATATTCCAGAATTGGTGTAGAGCACAACTGCTGTCACTAATCTAATTTTCATTCTGTCTCAGCATGGTACCTCTCCCAAAGGTTTACCTTTTTCAATTCATGCTGAATCTTTATCTTTCAAGATCAATAAATAGTAAATACAACTAAAAGTGCAAATAATTGAATCCAAGATGTGTATCTCCATCATGGATTTAAATCTGAGTACATTGCAAAATATTGCTGGAGATAGAGAGAAGGTGTGGTGGGGAAAGAAAACTGGCAAACAAAAAGAGTGGGTGAGAGACAGGGGATAGGGAATCAGAGAAGCTGTGGGGCAGGAATACAGGGACACAGCTGGAAGAAAGGTGTCCATCTCTGCTAGCATAATTTTTTTCTGCCAAGCCTTATTTATGGCCTGGGCTGCCCATGAGATTTTAAATAATCTGATAATTACTTTACCTATTGTATCATCAGACGTCACCACTAAAACAGCATTTGTATATAACATTCCTTTATCAATCAATATATGTCAGTAGTGCAGTTACTTGTTTCAAATAAGTTGCATAGGTAGCAGCGCGGGGCTTCCTTAAATCTCTGGTGCTTTTTTTTTATCCTTTTATTATCATTGTTATAGTTAGAACTTCAGAAAACATGTATGTTTTGTTTCAATATCACTGGCACCCTTTCTGTGTTAAAAACCCTGCCTGTCCTAACAAATATTATTAAATTTATTTAGTTTTTTTCAAGTTCAAAAGCTTTGCTCCAATATGCCCTGCATGTCTCAAAATTAGGAGGATGAAAATGGCTTGCACAAAATATAAGGAAATAAATGCATGACATAAGAATTATGTTCTACCTCATTTATGCTAGTCATATCTCTAAAATTAAGTAGCAAAGATTGTAATACATGGATTTTAGAGATGAGTCCCAAATTTAGTAGGAGCGAAATAATTTAGCAATTATTTAAAAAAAAACCAAAAACAAAAAGAAAACACAACCAAACAAAAAAAATAATTAACAAAAAATTAAAAACCCAAACATGTGAACAAACACAAATTGTTGGTCCAGATGGAAGGAACTAGTGTAATGCAACATCCTAAAGTGTCCACTTTCAAAACGTCATCACAACGGCACAAAATTAAGAGTCTTCTTCAGTAATCTCAGTAGAGAGATTAAGTAGGCAAATTAAGGCCAGGAAATTACTTTCCTATTCCCACTATTTCTTCCCGGTTGGTGTTTCTACTAATTACACTAGCAGGCAATCTTGTTAGTGTCACATCCTGTCCTGAAGACAGGCTGACATCCCGTGAACAATTGCTTTTTGTTCTGCCCGGTCTATACTATGATGTGTGGGTTGTTAAGTGCAGTGGCTCTGGAGTAAGTGAGAGATCTAATAAAGCTGAAAATTGCTCTGTGCTTTTCTGTAAATTACACTGTGTGATTTCTAGGGATTTACACTTCAGCAAAACACCACGATCAGCAGAACACACAAGCCCTCTGTGCAAAGAGGACCAAAGTCACCAGTGGTTCCTCAAGACCTGTACGGCTTTGGGATGATCCTGACATGTTTTGTGATGTAGTCTGGCTCTGGATGGAAGGGAGAGAGGGTACACACATCTAACTGGAAGGATATAATAAAAATCCAACCATAATCTCTTTAAATCCTTAGCCCTAATTATTTAAATAAACATTAGATTAGGATCAAATTGATTCTTTATCAAATATTTCTTGTCTTCTCATAACCTTTTGCTTATTGTATATTTTTTTCCAACAAGCACTGACATATGATCACAGATTCTGCTAAGCTGTCTTTTATCTGTTTAGAGCAAATGAGCTAATACAATGTCAGGTGTATGCATTAACAGTCACATCCAAAAGAACCCATGCCAAGGACTCATGTCTGACAGGTTAAAACTCTGCACAGGGAGCAGTTTGGCCACACACAGATTAAAACTCCAAATTAAAGACAGTCTATATTATAAAAATAATTAATTCCACATACTTGTAAACCTTTTTTTTTCTTTACAGTGTGATCTAGAAAAAAAACCAGGAACTAGTATAGACGGGTGATTACAAGTGGTTTAGCTGGGGAAAAAGAATTTAAAAAAAGAACACCAAAAAAAACCCAACCAACCAAAATAAAAACCCACACCAAAAAAAAGCCACAAAAAGGCACAAAAAACAAACCAGCAAACAAGACAACACAAAACAAAACCCACGTCTTTAACCACTTGCCAGGTACTCAGATGACAACAGCACCGCTTAGGTCCATACGTACCGAAGGTAAGAGGTATATAACTAGCCATTCTCCTCACAGAAAAGTCGGGCTTTAATTTCTTTCTTTAGGTAACTGCAGAGCAGTGTTTGTGCTTCTGGCCAAGGACCAGCTCGGGATCCCGGGAGATCACGGACATGCCCGTTGCTCTGGAAGCACGAGGCGGGTCCCAATCAGACACACCTGGAGGCAGCCCCCAAACCCACCCCTAACGGTTCCTACCGGGGGAACGAGAGGGAAACCCTCCGGCGCAGCGCGGCGCTGCCCACACCCCGCGCGGGGCTGGGCCGGAGC